CGAATATTCGCAGGAATATTCTCTCGAAGCATGTAAAAATTGTGAGCTTCGAGAATATTCTTGTAAAGCCTCGAGTTTGTTTGTCGGTTGCGAGACAAACAAGCTCGAGGCCGCCAGCGAACGTTTATAACAACAATCCGCGACATTAATCTTGTCCGCAACCGCTTTAGCGACCACGTGCCGTTCACGATAGCACGCCACCGCTAGCCAATAGGGCTTTCCCGCGAGAAAGTCCCGTTGTCTACCGGCGACTCGGCACGCGACAATTGGCCGAGGAAAATTGTTCTAACGGGACTCTCGAGCCCCTTAAAAGCGCGCCTCGAGCTCGAAAAAGCGCTGATCGCTCGTAGCTTTTCGCACCTCCGCACGTTTCGCATAACCGCAGTTTACCGCTCTTTATCTCGACTTACGCTACCCGCACGGACTTATCGCACGCTCGCATTTCACTTTTCACGACTTTGGCTTTGCTTTCTGGACTCACGCGCACGGCTTATACTTCTTCTTGTGTCTTGTAACTTGGCTGACTTTATTTGTGCTTATTAAACTCTGTCTTTTCTTTTCTGTGAAAACTCTGGTGTGCTTCCTTCTCCTCTTAACGAACGCGCTCGCGAACAGCAAATAAAAATGGTATTAAAGAAATTTGGAAATTTAGAAAGTAATTCGTAATGAGGAGGGCAGGTGATTATTGATAATTTGGGAACCATAATAGAAGAAGGTTTGTAAGTTGAGGTGAATTGTGGAAATTGCTTAGAGAAATATTTTAATTCGCATACAAAGCTTTCTCTATGAGAAAGCCATATTGATGTTTTTACTTCTTCTCCTCCTTGCACACGTTTCTGGCTTCCTCATAGAGAAAGCTTTGTATGCGAATTAAAATATTTCTCTAAGCAATTTCCACAATTCACCTCAACTTACAAACCCTCTTCTATTATGGTTCCCAAATTATCAATAATCACCTGCCCTCCTCATTACGAATTACTTTCTAAATTTCCAAATTTCTTTAATACCATTTTTATTTGCCATTGTCCGAACATTTCAATTTCCACATTATATGATAAAGCTTCCTCTATGAGGAAGCCAACTGCCATAATGTTAATGCCACCAAATTTCCCATTTGCACATCTAAATTTAAAAAAAACTTGGCCACATGATGAGGAAGCAATGTGCAAATTTCCAATTTGCACCCTTATTTCAAATAGGCATTTTTCATTAACCTGAAATTTTTAAAAGACAACTCTCTTTTTCAAAGCATATTCATAATTCTACCTCTATGATCATACATTTTCCAAATATCAAAATTCCATTTCATGTAATCTCTATTAAATTATTCAAATAACAAAGATTTATTATTTGATAATTTTTTTAATAACCATATTGATCTTTGTTTTACATTATCATGTTTGACGCATTCTTTGTTTTTTGAAATTAATTAATTTTTTTTTATTCTTGAATAGTCATCATTAGTGCAATATTAGAACTATTTTTCCGCTTTTTCAAACTGTGTATGTAAAAATATTTTTTGTCCTATTTATGATATA